TCTAAATACAATTATGATTTTCATGAAAGTGAGAAGAGGCAGAAGTGATGAGTTTTCACAATCATAGTTGTCAATATTAGTGATCAATGCATCGTCGGAGTTGATTAAGTGTAACTGAGGTACACATTAAGATGGATAATCCAGTGAGTGACTCTGATTATGATGCACATAGAAACGAATGCATAGAGGGAATATTGTGGGAGTGAGTTGTCAATAAATATGATATTTATAAAAGCAGGCCAACGAACAAACTAACAATCGAGAGTCAGGTGTGTGAAAGGAACAAGTTTATTTCCATGATAATTCCTTTTTTATACATACCTAAGGTTTCTCTATTTGAATGTCTACAGCTTCAGTGATGCCAGGGAGGCGACAGAATTATTCCTGAGGTTGCCAATTGTAACCGATGACCATCAATCATATTCAAAACCGAATGATAAAGCAAACAAACAGACACATTATACAACAAGACACAAAACAATGTTCGATTTATCACAAAACAATCTACACAATATCAGATGCATCGTGCCAAAACTCTCGCTTACCTAGAGTGAAGGGTTATCTATTCACTTCACGTTCGATCTTGTCATTAACTGACTGAACAACATAAAGCTCAACACTAGGTTGATCTGGACAGCGCATTCTTCATGCTTGAGTTTGTTTGTATAAGTAATTGTTACACGTTCCTCGTGTAACCTATAGATTGTGCGTTCAACCTTTGGTCCAGTTAGGAGTGTTTACTAACGAAAGTTTTTCTAAACACTGATGCAGTGAATCTTGCTTTCTGTTATCGAATAGACGAATGTCAACGCTTCTTGGAATCCACCTTCCAAAGGTAACAATCAGTTCTCATGCACTTCAACACCGTTTATAGTGTATTCATGCAAATGAAATAAAACGCGAAACAAGTTGTTCACCGAGGAGACCCTTTTCAAAAACGAATTTATTATCAAGCCGTAAAATCGAGTGTGATGTGGTTCCTGAGAAACCATATGGTCGGCTATGGAGTTCAATAATTCGTGTGAAACGCAAATCGAATCCAAATGTTTGTGATCATTATCACAATGGCGAAACACTGGTTGTCACATATAGAATACTTTGTTGGTTGTAAATCATTTGGAAGGAGTGTAAGAGCATAGGATTCGTAGTGTTCTTCTTTCGATCTCCTAACGTCTTCCTGTGGGGTTGTTTAAAAGACAGAAATCTTTCATCCACAGTGCCATTGTGTTTCATCTTATGGACACATAACACAGGGTTAATGCTAATGAAGTTTTTAAAGTCATCTACGGCATACCGAGTAATTCTCACTTTACCTTTCGAATTGGCTTACTGATTGCTGCTGAGGCTGTTGAGAACAACAGTTCGAAGCCTAAATTTTGTTCTTAAAATGGAGAAGCTGGTTCAGACATCGTCCTCACCTTGGCCTTCAAGGTGTTAATGGTCCTGAATATTTTGTAGAGATTTCTTCAATATTATTTGATATTCCATTTTCAATTACGTGTTTATACTTATCATAATTATTGCAGCTTTCGTGTTTCCGTTGATCTTAATCAACAAATCGACGGTGATTAAAAAATCTCCAGTATTATTGATATCGACTACTGTGGAATATTCTACATACATGAACATATACCTGCAACTGTAGAGCCTAATGAGGAAATTTTCGATGAATTTATTCTTTGCTCGCGTTTTTCTAAATGTCTAAATGAATCCCGCAATAATTTGCTTTCAGGCTAAGTTAACTGTCACTTCAATGTCTATTGTTCAGTGGAAATGAACATCAATGTGCGTTGTGTATTGAGATTAGCATCTTCAGTAAGACTTATATTGAAACGACAAGGTTACGATTCCAAAGGCTTATTGTACAATAATTATAACTACAATGTTGGAATAATCAGCATTCACCAGGATAACGCGAAATTCCAAAACATAATCTATCGATAAAGATTATATTAAAACTCCTTCATGTGTCAGGTGGACCACGACAGGCTTCAACGACACATCTGCATCTTATCCTCTTATCGACAGTCACTTTCAGCAGGCTACACGATGATCCATATGCCTTCATCCACTGCCGCTGCCGCCCATTTCTGCCAAATTGTTGGTAATTTACCTGTAGATCTTCGTGCTAGTGTAACACAATACACACATCATCATCGAAGAACATCAAGGACTGCCCTATTAAAATGAAGAGGGTGATCCTCTACTTTTATACTCTCTCTGCTCTTTTTTGAACATCGTCAGTCTGTGGGGCAAATAGGCAGAGGATGTATGGCCTACTCCAAATTCATCAGCGGAACTTGTCAATGTATCCAATGGTGAAATTGTATAAACGAACATTTCACAAGGTAGCACGACATGTGAAGTCCTCGAGAATTACAGAAATCAAGTTTCGAAGTGACACGATCCTTCCCTATTCTTTTAGTCTCCCTGTGTTCATAACGAGCCAATAATTGTCTTGTTTCTGCTCTCTACCTAGAAATTCCATGCAGGTTTGACTCCACTTAGCCCTGAGCTTGTCCCTGTGCTAACAACGCTGATCTTTTCGCTAGTGTTGATTTGTGTCTCCATATGTTTATCATTAAGATGTCCTTTGTTTCCTGGTCCCTCAGTTTTTGAGCGTTGAACTTGGCTTGTGGTCTATCTGCAGCTCCTGTTTTTTTGAAAGCTTTTAATTTGATTTGGAGTGTTCCTTGTACGAGATAATGCTCTGAGCCAACGTCTGCTCCTCTTCTTACTTTTGTGTCCAGTAAGCTGCGTCTCCACTCCCTTGAGGGGCATTGAGATGAAGTCAATTTGGTTTTGGTTCGCTCATCTGAAGACACCCATGAAGCCTTGTGGATATCCTTGTGATTGTTTACGCTGCCGCCAATCTGTAGTTCATTGAAGGCGCAGAAGTCGCCTAAGATTTCTTCATTTTCATTCATTTCTCGGTGTGCTTCTCTAACCATGATGAGTTCTCTTCCTCTATTGTCTGGTACCAGTTTGGCACTCATGTCTCCCATTAGTATTTTAATGTCACCGACTGGAGTATTGTCCACTGTTGCCTGAAGTCGTCTGTAGAACTCTTCTTTATTTTCGAGGTCTGCGTTGTTTGTGGATGCATGCATTGTATGACTGAGACTTTCCTCCCCTTTGAGCTGAATCTAGCAGTCATCGTTCTGGGTGAGATCACGTACAAAGGCCTCCGTCGCCGTTGGTGACATCATGAGAACCACAACCTTGGTGTGCATGTGGGTGTCTCACGTTGAAAAATTTGGTGAGTCCACTCCCATTTCATCTTCTTTCACACATATCAGTACTTGAATTCCATACCTATACACTGAACTAAGAGTATATGTGTAGTCGAGGTAAGTACAACGCACATATATCTAAGGAGGAGACAATGTGATGATTTAATACAGCAGCAGCATCTAAAGTACTTCTTCCCTGCCTATTACCACACTGTTTGAGATCATTACAACTTTTCACAGAGGGCACACATTTGAGTGAATGAAATTTCTTCACCAGCTTCAAAAAAGAAGGAGTGATTTCAATAGGTTTAAATTCAATATTATTACGAGAACCTGACTTCGGTTCAGGGATGATCTCAATCTCTTCCCAAGCAGCAGTTCAAACATAACTAGATAAGGAAGCATTGAATATGTTTGAAAGAGGGGGGCGGGTTGCAGGAAATATTATCACTTCTTCCGAGGAAAACAGCAGGTTTCTTGTCAGGACCTGGACTGTTTGTACGGTTTAGTGATTTCAAACATTGAAGAGCATCGAAAGAAGTAAAGCCGTAAAAATCACTAACCTCATTATTTATTCTATTGGGGACAAAAGTAGATTTCGCAAAGAGTATAAAGGATTAATTGAGAGCAACTATATGAACAGAGGGGACACTAATACACTGCTCAACACAACCTGTAATTCCATCGAAGGATTTCAACATGTTTTTGAAGTTTTTCACGAGAAGGGTCTTTGGTTATAAATCGTGTTCAACTGTTGGATTTTTGATTTAATCAGGATATTTATGCTTTCAGACCAGATTTGTCTTTTTCTGTATGGTGGCCGAGTATTTTGAATAGCGATTTTCTATGAGCAGCATACGTCGACGTAGAGTCTATTAAAATCCGTAATGTTTGTGATTGTTTCATTCAGGGTACGCTCAGTAAATAGTCCTTCAGCCGGTGACACTCAACTTGCACACTCAATACCCATGAGTGCTAACTTCTAAACCACTCAGAGAATTCATACAGCCAATGAGTAACAAATTACGACGGAACAGCCGTCCACTACTCACTGTTAATGTTCAACGCTCCTCTAAATTATACCTAGTTTAATGTTTCTTTCAACTGACCAGATGGAAATGTTCAGCCGTTTTTGACATGTCATCAACAACTAGTGTGGACGCTTTTACGATGTGTGAGAATGAACCAGTGATGACACCCAATCTACGATGCGATTTTAACCCTACTTAGGATTCATCATCTCGGTTTATCAGTGTTTGTTGGTTTCCCTAGTGAGATTTAAACTCAGTAACTCTCTCTACAAACGTTGATGCGTTATCAACTATGCCACTCAGGACACCAACTCTCGTGTAACGGCCAAAAAGCGAATCGTGGACTCCACATGTAGTTAACACCCACCAGATTAATTCTGGTAATATTTAGTTAACTCAAAATAACTCATATGCCTGTGTATAACATATCTGATTAGACCAATACAGTAATCTGAGAAATGACCTGAAATTTACATTTTGTTTCTAGAATTCATGAATGTTTCGTCTTGAGGCCACTGTTTTCAAACCAGTGTTGACGCGCATGGAGACAGATGGATGTAAATGTTTCTCATGAATTTTCATTCACCTACGTACACACCTTTATCTGTATAATTCAGTGATGGTTAGTCAGACAATCATGAATAGTCAGATTTTAGTCAGTTTCTGATTGGTTAATGGTAGTTGCCACTGAATGAAAGAGTGTGACATGTTAGTGGTATAAATAGTCCAACAAAATATTGAATCATTGTCAAGTTAGTTGGTTAGTGACTATTTAGCTCACATTGTGGGTAAGTTCCAGTGATATAATTATTCATGTGATATAATATGTAGTATGTATTTAATGTTTGAGAAATATTGACATTTGCATTACCATATCGCACCACGTATGTATGTAAGATGCAGGGAATGTGTGTAGACAGTCTCCACTTCATTGAACCAAGAATATAGACCAGTGACTTCGTGATTTACAATTTATCTTATCTAATCTGGTGTGCGTCGGCGGCATAGCCGTTAGGACGCTCGCCGACCATGCACATGGTCCGGCGCTCGGCCACAGACGCACTCCTTTACCCCGCTTAGCAAGAAATAATGCTGGTAAAAAGGAGAGGTTGGGCATGAGGCTGACAACCCCATCTTGTAAAGTTAAACACTGCTACACAAACTTCAAACCACTGGCTTGAAGCTCCATGTTCCACTGAGGAACGTGAAGGAAAACAGTCTTGTGCAGAGTGGAACCGTAGATTTATATACCTGAAATAATTTGCAAATGCACTGGAAATTGTAGACCCGAGTAGATGCAGTCCTATAAAGAGTCGCCTGCTAAATAAATTTGTAGTTTGTAGGCGTGTGTGTTCATTGTGTGATCTTTTTTGATAATACTTTTTTACACATTTTACTGACATTACACAAAATTTGTCGAGTGGTGCTGCTGTACAAACATCAACCGAGTGACTGGTCACTGAGTATCCCATCTTCCCTAATATGTATTCAATTGATTTCGGTGTTCTTTACACAGATATTTTATCAGATATTTTTTCTATCCTGTGAGTGTAGATCAGTTTTCTGTTTATTAAGATTTTCTAGTTCACATTCTGCATTAGTCTCATAAGCCGTTGACGTTGCGTATCGACATTTAGGTACCCAAATCGGGAAGTTTCGTATTGGGGTTTGTGTTAGTGATACTATGGAAAGCTGTTCTCTCAGTTGTTATTTTCAGACGTCTGTTTACCTTCATACGGAGGTTATCATTTACCTTTCGAGTGACAGTCTAGTTGTGTTGTTTTATCGGTAGATAACTGATGAAGAGAACGTCTGCCACTGTGCACGACATACTGTTCGAGTTCAGCTAGACGTGGATGGATGGCATCGATGTGGCTGAGGGTGTGGATACATGGATAGCAAGATATATACTTTCGTCTGAAGAAGATGCTCAACTGTACACAGTACTAGACTTGATTATTTCTTCACATCACTCAGTCACGAAGTGGCTGATAAAGCTTATTGTTCTAGTGAAGGAGAAGCTTTTTATCATTTTTTCCTTAATTGGTTAAGAATGTCAGCCTGCTGGACGTATAAATGTCTACAGACAAATACGCTCAATTATGTCACTACTCTATCCAGATCAACTTCGACATTCAATGGTTCTCCAAGATTCAGATAAGCTGTTTATGTTGCAGACGAATTAAAAATCATCTACTAACATTCACAAAGCAGACACTTCACATAATAACGGCAGATACTGAGGCCTAAATCAAGCTTAGGTCAACTGTGATCAGGCGAAGTCAAGTCTCATCACCTGCAAAGGATATTCATTATTATTTCTTCTTCTAATTATTCTCATGACTGTTCCTTGGATTCCGTGTGTTATTGAAAGTGTTCATTTGGCTTTTCGAAATGCTTTCCTTGATGCCATGTCTAAATTTCAGATCGTACTAGAAGAATTGAGAGACTGCCTGTCCGACTTAATATTGGTGTTGATAATACCAATTTTATTCCTCATGCTGGGATAGAGTGCAGAAGATTTCGGAACTTATTTCAGAGTAAGAATGACCGTCTGTCTTGAGGTTATGATTAGATTTAGCATTCACATCCTAATTTATTTCGACTGTGCTTAGTTTAAATGATGCTGCCATGCCAGATAAGTAAAGGGAGTGACATTTTCAAAATTTACTCTGCGATTGAAGCTTGTTATAAGTGTTAGCTGGTTGATTAAAATGTTCTTTGATTGACTTTCTTCATCATCTCCATCCACTGTGTGTTCCTCTGAAGTCCTGTATACTCCACCTGCTTCTTTTAGCAGTTTGTTTGTATTCATATGTAGGTCTTCATGCATGTGTTAAATGTCGTTTAAGTCATCTGAGAAGTCCTAATCCCCCATAGCCTTCTTATCTAACTAAGGCATCTTTGTCTTGTGACTGGTATTGAAATCGATTGATTCAACTCGTCTAGTCAACTAATTGTAATGCATTCTGTGATTTTTGAAGAATGTTCGTGATTTCAGGGGCGATACAAATAATAATATATGTGTAAAACTTGGCCATTGTGGTAGTAAGTAATTCCGTATTAGTTTGTTGATTAGATGTTTCACACAGCGAAACAGTATTATTTACTGGATGATAAAGTTTCGAACAAAATTTATTTATTTGTTCATAATCATATCATCAGTTATAATCACATGACTTCGAAACTTGAGTTTCATAGTTTTCTTTGTCCTCTGTTATTTGTTGTAGGAGTAGTAGACTTTTCCAGATATCTGAGAAAGATGTTGAATCATTCCTGATGCATGTATTTGCAGCTGATTCGATAAAAAAAGCTTCTATATGTCCAAACCAAATTCACTTTTAACAGTTTGAAAAAATGTGGGCATTGGGCATATGAAATTCATTATAATGTTTTTGTATTTCACAGTGAATGAAAAACAAACAACAACAAACAAAACGATATTGTTTTTATTGCTTTATCAAAGTATTAGTTAACCAGAATTTACAAAATCTCAGCATTTATATAATAAAGAGTTAAGAAGCGATAAAATAGATTTAGGTCAAGCTAAAGGGACATATTGAAATCAAAATAACAATGAAGATCACTAAACCAAATATCAAAATTAATACTACATCTGTCATGATATCAAAACAAAGTTTACTAACTTGATCATCGTTCGTTAATCTGGTGTCTTTTTTCATTGTCAAGTTGGTCATTTGGTAAAGATAACAAAATCAAGTGTAGATTCTTGGATGTGATCAGTGTGTAAAATTATAAAAGCAGTGTGTGTTTACATAGTGAGCTTGCTTATCACATTCGTTTTGATTTTGGTCACTTCATGCGGGTGGGAGGCATCGTAACCAGGTCAGATTCCGTTTTAGTCCATAATTCCTATTCAGGCAATTCGGACTCCATTTGATAAGAAGTGCTTCTGATATTAGACGTACTTTGTGATTTCTGAAGTTGGTCCGGATTATTTCAGAATTATCAAAATCAATTTTGTGGCCTGATTCTATACCTGATGATTTTTCAAGTTTTTCTAGTTCAATTGGATTTCTTGGTGGTCAAAGAGATGCTCTGCGGTGTTCATTTCTTCTGATTTTGATTTCTCGAGATGTTTGTCCGATGTAGATCGCTTCACATTTCAAGCATTTTATTTTATAGACACAATTAGAGAATCTTTTGGGATTTGGTCTTTTATATGGATAAGGTTGCTTTGAAGTGTGTCTGATATTTTGAAGAAAACTCTAATGTCGAGCTGATTGAGTACTCTTCTGATATCGTCTGATGTCTCTGCTCTATATGGAATGATGACTGTTGAGGTCCATGTTTTCGGAATGCGTTTTCGGCCATACTTAATGTTTGTGTTGATTTTGTTGATGAAGTTCCTTGGGTAGCTATTTTTCTTTAGATTTTCACTAATGTTTGATATTTCTTCTTCTTTCTGCTTCGCATCCGTTATCAGAGAGTGTGCTCGTCTAAGAAGACTTGAAACAACTGAATTCTTTGCGTTGATGGGGTGTGATGATTTGAAGTCTAAGTATTTATTGGGGTGGGTTTTCTTCCTGAATATGGATATACTAAAATGTCCGTTTTCCCTCCTCTTAACTAGGCAGTCTAGAAATGGTAGTTCACCGACGTCTGATTCTGCTTCCAAAGTGAACTGGATTCTGGGAGACACACAGTTTAATTTCTCCAAGAATGAATTGATTAGAGCTCGTTTTAACACCACAAAAGTGCCATCTAAATATCTTAACCATATTTTAGGAGTGAGTATGCTTGAAAAGATATTATTTTCGAATGTATTCATGAAAACGTCAGCGACTATTGAGGAGACTGAACATCTGTAGTGCGGATCTGAATATAAAGTGTGAAGTTATTTCAACCCATCATGAATAATGATATGGTAATATCTCTTGACAGCCGGTGTTGTGGAAAGTCGTCAATTTACAGTAGCTTTTACCATTTTCGACTCTTTTCGGCTTTTGGCAGTCCAAGTTAGAAGCAGGTCGCCAACATACTACCACAGGGTAGTGATACATTTCACTTTCACAAGATCCCATCAGTTCTCTGTTATTGATCTGAGCCAATCTCCCCATAAATGCATGATGCCATCTACTACTTATTTAATGACATAAGTACTTATATATCCGGAATGCTTCCTGGTTCTCCGGAATAATTCACACTATAATGTATGGTTTGTTTGATACCATGAATAGTAATCAAGCAAGCTAGCATCGATTTATGACTGCGTGTATTAGTGATCGATTGGCATTAGTAGTTTCACAGCACTTTATACATCAGCCAACCAGCCAAATAGAAGTATGAACACCAAGCGGGGGTTTCACTCGTTTAGGTCCAAAATCATCAGTTGTGTACCAGGCTTGAATCTGCTCCAAACCAGGGAAACAACTGTTCACTGTTTAGATAACCTCAAATGCCTTGCTAATAGGGCCTACTCGTTGATGTGGAGGACGTTTCACAACTACTCATCTAAATCAGACACTGGTGTGTGTTGTCATAAGTTGAGATTTCAAACCTTCGGAGTGTGGAACACTGACCTGTAAATTTCATTTACTGTACAGTTACATTGATCACCATCCGATCAGTTATCCATATAAGGCTTTCGAAATGGGCAACCTAGTTTGGAAAATGTTAAACAAATCAGGTTCGAGAATGCCTTTTATCCATGGATTAGCGTTCATTAATGTCAGTTGCGTGCTAGGGCATCGCTTGAAAGCAATTCGAATTCGGAATGGATCGGTAAAACATGGGTCCATCGACGACATAGAGGTGATGGTGTGATAGTTGGAGTAAATGAGTGATTATGAGCATTGGTTCTGACATGCTGAAGAGAACAGCAGCAAGTAGGAACAATTTGAGATGTGCTGTAGAAGCCAATTATTCCAATCGAATGCCAAAGGAACAGAAAAATTCACTCACTCTCATGCATTTCAAATTACATCAAATGAAAATTCATCTTTTTTCTTTTTATTATATAATTTTAGTAAAAATGGAGCCTCATAGGTCTAAATTAAACCTCATCATACTCGTCAGTTTGTGCATAGTCAATATTATGAAGATTGAATCAGCAACGTTTATGCTTCGAATGACTGTTGATGAATCAGGTAATTCAAATGTATTCTATGATGTGGTTTTGTTCTCTGAGCTGGATGGTTAGCTTGCAAAGCTTTCATCACCCTACTGGGTGACAACTTCAGCGCATACTTCATAGTCATCCAGCTGAGCTACAAATCTTCTCTATTATATCTAAATGTATTCTATGTATGTAGATGACTGAGACAAGTGTGATATTTCTCTAAGTGAGTCTCTTATCATATTGCTGCTTGAAATTCATTATACGTCTCACTGCTGACTGAGAGACTCACTCCAGGATGAGACTTTCTCGCCACAATGAGAACATTTACTCACTCGTGATGAGATTAGTTACTGGTGGTGCTATATATTGCGAATTAGCAAAAGTCTGCATTCATAGCTCATTTCATTCTGTGTTAGTGAATGTATGGTCACTGATATCGTCTCGCCGCTTGAACGTTTTTGATTAGATTGCTGATAGGATGGTGGATGTATAGTAGTGAAGAGCCTTAGACCACGATCGGGTGATTTCCCTGTAATTGTTGTGTTTCAACGCTCCTCTAGCTGATATCACTTTATGATCCATATTGCTTATAGGATATTCCAACGATGTGAGGATGTTTCTCTTCATAAGTGATGGTAGTATGACAGTTTTACCTGTCGCGTAATCCACAATGCTAAACAGAGCAAAGTATTCTGTGAAGTAGAGATAGAAGCAAGCTAAGGCTGCTGATCTCCCTCATTCCGATGCGTCATGAAGTGAAGAGAGAGGAATAGGCTGGATTCGTGATAATACTCTGGGAGATCTGTATTTCGAAGCGGAAGATTTTTGTTTGTTTTCACACAAACTCAAACAGTTGGAGACAGCAACCAACGAGCGATCAAGAGAAGCAATTGGAGATTACAGTACTTCAGCTGAACATCTAGAATATGTATTGAAGTATAAAATGGACTAATGACAACAGCAAGCATTGATCACTTTCAGTGAAATTAATATGAATTCGGTAACTTACTTGACTCATCTTGAAAGGCAGCAGCATAGACAGTTGGTACTGCTGCACATGTAGTAACCGTAATTGGAAAGGCAAGACAGACGATTATCACTGTGAATTCAGTGTGAAAATTGTCTGCACTCCACCTCGGAACAAAGAACAACATTCACATTTTGAAGAGTCAGTCACGCGTCATATCAGATTGCACCTCAGAAATGATTAGCAAGAAGAATGTGGGAGAAAAGAACGACGAAGCACCAATTCGTCACGAAATATGCAGAAGTAAGTTAAGGGTGGTTCGGACACATATCAGAGGGGTCCACGAATGACATCGCGCGCTAGACAGTCGATAGAGTGGACATTGAATAGGAAACAGATATTCAGGTATATGTTAGATAGTGATATGTAGGAGGTAGTGTGGTTTGAAGGAGAAGAAAGAATATGGGCAATAATGAGACCATTCTGAAAATGACAGCAACACATAGAACAAAGTGGAAATGTGCTGTCGAAGGTGTATGTTTCTCTCGAAATTCAAGGAAACAATACTTGTATTGTTTCGCAAGTTTTCAGCGTGAGAATGAGAAACATATATCTCTCTGGGAATATCTACCTTAGCGTCCTGTGCAAGCTTCGATAACGGTCAAGGTAGTGTGGATGATATTAGACCTTACTTGATAAATGCCTCATCGGTGACTTGTTTTCTTCTGTTTCTTTAGAGCGTATACAGTTCAGGAGAAAATGAATTATCTTTCATCAGTAAAACTTTTATGAACGAACCAACTGAATTGGTCTTGAACTCCCCTCTATCAATGTCATTTGGCTAAATTATATGTTACACATATTGACCGACGATTCAACTTTTGCTCTTTCATATGAACTGAGAGTAATATAACACAAAGTGTCAAGCAAAAAGGCTCTATTATTTTTCCTTTGAATCTATATGGCTTCGGTGCGTCGGTGGCAAAGCGGTTAGGACGTTCGCCAACCATGCACATGGTAGGGGGTTCGACCCCCGGCCGACTCACCCCTTAAACTCTCCAAGCCAGACACAAAGCTGGTAAAGGAGAGAAAGGTTAAGCATGAGGCTAGCAACCCCATCCTGTAAAAATAATCACCACTGCTACAGAAACTTCAAGCCTCTAGCTTGAGGACGCCCTATGTTCCACTGGGAACGTGAAGGAAAAAAAATCTAAATGGCTTCGAGTTAGTTGAGTAGACTTTGTTAACCGAATCAATTGTATTACTGCGAAATCCCGTGCACTTTTACTCCTTCTCCTGCACACGAAGCAAGATAAAAAGGAGCTCATTTATTTCGTCAAAAATCTGTCTACGTGGATAGTGAAGGTACACAGTAGAAAATACTCACCATCAGGATAATAAAGAGGAAGGAATACAAAGCCCGGACTGGCATTTGTGGATCAAATAATAATAGTAATGCTAATACTAATATTATTAATGTGTTAAATGTTTTGAACGTCAGTGATAACGATGACGATGATAATGATAACAAATAATGACACTAAAGTTTCAGCACGTAGTCATAAGAATAACGGATATAAGAATAAAACTTGTGCACTGTGGTAGAGTGTAATTCCATTATGGGTAAATTTTGTTTTGATAAAGTCTCACAGTGTTATACAGTAATGTTTACAGTAAACATTACTGTGAGACTTTACCGAAACAAAATTTACCCATAATGGAATCAGAATAACGGAGTTAGTAATATGTGTATATATAGATATTCGGGTCAATAAATTCAGTAAAATCATGCAAGCTAAGCAATAGAGAAGGTGAAGTTGACAGATAACCAGATTTCGAATAAATTTCACTAAAATCCACAGTTAATGGAATATTTCATTTTTTTATTTTATTTTTTATTTATTTTTGATTACAGCTTGATTCCATACCGTATTTTTGGTACTAGTGTGGAATTTTCAGCGTGGATATCGGTAGCCTAAATTTCGCAGGCCGACCATAGATATCAAGTGTGAGTCGGCGTGGGCTCGAACCCCGGACCATGTACATGGTTGGCTAGGGTCCTAACTACTGTGCCACCGGCACACAGGATGGTTTTGATAAGGCTTTAAATGAGCCTGAATAGAGACAAATATTAGAACAAACTTTCTTTCTGTATATAAAGACTGAAGTTGATCTCTCGAAATTTCATAGCTTCGTCTATATGTGAATGGCGGTTTCGAATTTTTTCGCGATGCTCTATAGGATGCTATAGACAACTTTGAAGGCACTACTTCTGTCCAATTGGTAACCACAATCAACCATTCTCGTCGAAAGAGAATTTTTAATAGATTTTATTTGTCTCTCTCTGAAACATGTGCGAGGATTGTCGTTATTGAAATTGTTGACATAGGAAATATTATGATCATAATAGCTGATAAGGGAGTCGGATGAATAGTCGTGATCACGCTGGCAAACTGAATTCGCTTCCCATTGACAGAGCGAAGTAACAAAAGCTCAACAATTCAACAGATTCACAGACAAAGGCTAACAAGAAGCTAACAGACTCGCTTTAACAGCTGAAAAGGTGGAGTATGCTCAGAGGCATCCTACATTCGTCTATAAACTAATGGGAGTAATACTTCCCGATTATTCGCTAACAGATACCAGAAAATCAGTTCGACCTCGGGGTGCCAGTTATTAGTCTGAGAGAGTTGGTATTAAGATATACGATGAATGTACACTTCACATTCAACAGTCTTTATTGCAGTCAAGTCGATGATGTTGCTATGCGTTCTCCGTTCAATCTAATTTAGGCAGATTTCTTTCTTGCTTAGCTTGAAAATGCTTCTTTGAAACAAGTACCAGATTGTAACGGATTCTTATTTTCACTATCTTGATCATGCGTTCATTGTTCTCGATGAGAAATCTGACAAGAATGACATGTTGATAAAATATTATAATGCACATCCATCGTTCCTCCTCACTTGTGATGAAGAACATGCTGGTATACTTCACTTCCTTAATGTACACATGAGTAGAAGAGATACCGGATGGCTCACTCAAGAGGGATGTCTATAGAAAACCTACATCTTTAGGACACTATACAAATTTCCTCAGTTTTGTATGAATTCGACACAAAATGAATGTGAGTGAGATGCTTTACGAATAGAGCAAGACGGATCTGTACAGGTGACTGCATAGAAAAGGGAGTGAGGATACGTTCAAAATGCGTTGGCTCAAATAGGTTATTCCAGTAGATTTGTGAGCAGACCCATGAACACCATGTAAAAAACAGAGAAACAGGCAACCGTGAAAAAGAAAAGAACTCTTCCTAAAGTTGCGATTCAGTGGGAACGTGACTAGTGAAGTCTCACATCTACGACTATCAAGAGTAATACAACGGACGTATACTGACTTATATTGTCATTTTTCAGCAAACCAGTTATGATTGCTCAAGCGAAAGACAAGCTGTCTGGCTGCGCCATTCGCATGGGTTTCTCCAGTGGAAAGAGCTGTATATTGGTTGAACGACTAGACTGCTCAACGAACGCAATAATGACAACCTTCCTTCATGTTTGGGCATAATGACAGATGCTAACGGCTGGTATTGGCTGGTTGGCACTCACTCTGTTGTCAATTTGAAAAAGTTGGAATTGATGTGGTTTTAGATGTTGTCTTGGTGGCGAAACAGTCTGTTTCTTTACGCAACGATCCTGGTTTCGATCCCCGATAAGTCTCTGAATCACCAACAGTTTACTGGTCTACATTCAGCATAACTTTTGACTATTCAATAAGTTCTCAGTGTTATCAGTCTGGATGTAAGAATGACATTTCTCAGCATCATCTTCCATTTCGTGTAATGTGTGTGTTGATTGGATCGTAACGGATTGACAGATTGCTACTGACATAAACTCGGCAGCACTTGAGAGTGGAATAAACTTTTATATGAATCAATTACTTACAAATTATTCACACTGTTCTCTCCCGAGTGATTGCAAAGGGTGAGTTGATCATCAAATCACTATTATTTCACTTCAATCGAGAACTTTGTCTACGTGTAGAGATTTCAGACATTTCCTACAATACATTATCCTGCTTATTTTATTTTTAGGACAAATGACTGTTGAATTCGACGGGAAGAACTTCACTCTGAATGACGACTTCACACTAACAGTTCAAGATAAGGACTGTACAAGGACAATTTCATTGCAACCACCGACCGGAGATGAGCTGATAACGAGAAAAGGATATCGTCCGGGGTCTTGGTGAGTCTTCTTTTATGAGTGGCTTAAGTGATTTTTCTGAAGTAGTGTTCTGGAAATTACATCTAAACCACTTGATAATGTAGTTATTACTATGCATACAATATTCATAAGAATATTGCGCAGGTTTCAAAGCAGCAGTATTCTTTCACAGAAAATGCTAGCTTCTTTGTTTGGCTGTTGTATTACGCGTCCAGTATCACACTTGCGGTGTCACACATAACAGCCAGAAGGATTCATTTGAACAATGAGGCAAACATATTCTCGTAAGCGTCTGTAGCACAGTGATAAGATGCCCGCTCACTACATACGTGGTCCGGTGTTCGATTCCCAGCCAACGCACCTCTCAACGTCGCTTAGCCAGTAACAAGACTGGTCAAGAGGGAGAGTTGAGCATTAGGTTAGCAGCACCACCCGGTAAAATGAAACAACACTGATACCGAAAAATGATGCTTTAGGTTGAAGTCCTATATTCCACTGAGAACCTTAAGTGATAAAAAATAATCCTCATATCCCTCTGACTTCTCAGAACATATTTCTTCTGACTTGTAGTGAAGAAAGGGAGAATTAAAAGCATAACTCAAACCCTTCTCTTACAATTTATTAAATCGTTTTTTCGTTATACAAATTTGGCATTATACTATATGTCCGTAGTGTTCTTCTTGTATCACATGTAATGATCAATTAGCTATCAGTTTCGCCATACCTCATTGAATCCCGTGAGTACATTATTATAATAGATGACAATCGTAATAATACCAAGAGCAGTATTTTTGGAATTAACTGCGATCTGTGTTTATAATTCAGTTGGAAGGTTTCATCATGAACTGATATCAGTTAGAGAACCATAGGAAAACATGGGGCGTTCATAAATTCACTTGCTCCTTCAGAGCTATTAATATTAAGTGAAAACCAAAAAAACTGTTTTCGATGTAGATTCCCCCCTTCGTTGCTAATGGAAACTGGTGTTCCTCAAGGCGCTGGAACTTATTTCATTTCTATCTTCAACCTGCATGATCTCCCATATTCACCGAGGCCGATTTCCGTCAATATGCCGATGATCTGACAACTATATTGTAGTAGTTTCTTCTCAAGTGGAAGGATTCTTATCGGAAGTTATCCTATCTCCCAAATCAAAACGAATCCATCTACATGTCGTAAAGTTTGTTGATTTTGGATCCCGATGTGAAGAATACTCAATATTGACGGCATTGTTAAAGTGACTGAAATGGATGTCTCCTATCTCAGTGTCAGTTTCCCTTCCAGTTCGTGTTAGTCGTCTCATATCTTGTCGATATGTAGTGAAATATTCCGTCTCACTTATACTGCCACTAGGTTGAGTATTTCTGTTGGTCCAACTCAACCCCTACTCTGATCATTTATTAATCAATGTATTCTTCTCAATAGGGTGAGAACCAGAGAAAATATGATCAAAAATTATGCTAGTCTGGGCAGCAAAATATAAAATCGCTCCCTTACTGTACTTGGCAAGGGTTTCGTGTGAAGAGACAAGTATCAGGAAACAGCCAAGAAAACGTTCAAATCAGCGATTGAATTGAGAACTTCTCTCCAGCTGTCTAGATAACTTGCCATAAGCTCTCACGCCCTCCACACACGTACACACACAATAAACTCCTTGACTCACGCTGTCGGCCAACTAATCATTTCACATTCAGACTTCCCTCCAGCGATGGCCTGATATGTGGTATCACTCAGCCGTCTTCTCAATGCCTGTCCTGTACACCGCCTTTCCTTTGGACAGGTTCGATAAGAGACAAATTTTTGTCAGAACTCTTTCTGTCTAAAGATGACGCATTATTGATTTGAACACTGTTGTTTATGGTAAACGCCACTAGAAAAGACACTGTGGCTGGTCCAATTATGCAGTTGCATTCGATTCTTGAAATATACCGCAGTCTTTTATACAATCCAAAACAGAGCTGTGTATTTCACAAAGTTGATTTTGATGCGTATTCATAGCTTGATTTTTATCTTTCCCTAGGCTGTGTAAAAGGTGGTTTGAAAGAAACCGAAATATTCATCCGAAAATAGACGAAGTAAGACAGTACTATGAAGAGCGTAAACCATAGAGTATGGCTGGGCTAAACAGTACTGAAAGGGAAAAATAATTCAACCATGTATATTCAAATACTCTCCTTTTCAATAAACACTCCTTATTTTGCGAATGCAAAGTATTCTTCTCTCTCTTTCTGTAGATTAGATCTTCTCCAATAAATGTATATGCATAACTGCCTTCGCGTTATTTAACAAATATGAAGTGGTCTTGTGTGTTGACATAGTAAGTGAATGGTTGATTTCAGTGCGGATTCTGTCGTTTATGTTGACTTCGCTTCTGCCACTAAGAGACACTGACAGTATAAAAGTACTGAAAAGCAGGAAGAATCATACTTCTCAATTATATTGTGCAGTTGTGTACATAAGTCGTGGGAATAGAAGTCAAATCGGTGTAGCTGACACTGTTGAATGGCCGCGACCATCATTTGCCTAGCAAGCAGAAACGTAGCTTATAAACTCTAATCTCGCATTTGGCAGAAAGTCATCAAGCGATAACGTTAATATCAGAATCTGCAAACGAGTCGGTGCGTCTGTGGCACAGTGGTTAGGACTCTCGCTGACCATGCACATGGTCCGGGGTTCGAGCCCACGCCGACGCACACCTGATATCTATGGTCGGCCTGCGAAATTTGGGCTACCGATATCCACGCTGAAAATTCCATACTAGTACCAAAAATACGGTATGGAATCAAGCTGTAATCAAAAATAAAAATAAATAAAAATTTAAAGCAAATGATGTTTATCGATAAGTCGCTATTTTCAGTTGTACCATTCTCAAGCAGTACAATCGCATATATTTAGTTAACTTATGTCTTAGCAACAAAATGAGTTTTTTCAAGTATGCGTTATTAGAATCCGGAATGTTAGATATTATATCTAATGTGGGAACTGAATCGAAGTTGTGAATACATGAAATAATAATGGAAGTGTGAAATGCAAATAAAATATATGTGATTATAATCAAAGTTAAATATCAATTGGTAAAACAGTTGATGTATACATGTTAAGATGGGGTGTATAATTATAGGGTTAGTAGGTGAATATAAAATGTTTCATATCCTGGTGTGAAATTTGATGGGATTGAGTCAAATTTGAAGTAGTGACTACTATTGATGTCCGTCAGGGATACCCACTATCCCCATTTCATTCAATGTCATCATAGACGTAGTAATGGATTTAACCCTAAATCACTTCAGAGACTCAGGGATTGACTTGCTACTATGGAATAATCGCATTGACTTTGAATATGCAGATGATATAGTCCTTCTAGGTGAGGACGCTGACAAAATGCAGAGTCTTCTGGACATCTTGATCTGTATTCTACGAATGTTTGGTATGGGATTCGTTCCCTTTGTCAAATGTAAATTAATGTTAAGGGACTGGACTACACTGACTCTTAGTTTGGAAGTATGGAGTGAAGTGGTAGTGCACGTTGACCGCTTCACTTACTTAGGAAGTAACATCAGCCTCATTAGGTTGATCTTGGACGAAATCTCAGTATGGATAGAGAAGGCTAGTTTCACGTATGCCAGTTTACGCCGGCGTATGTATACATAAACAGGTCAAGACATACAGGTAAGTTTAAGCTACCCTCATTTTTACAATCTGTATCCAACGTATTGCTCTTTAGTGTTCCCTCATCGTATTTCTCAACTATTTGGACATTTCTCACTTGAATGTTCCTAATAATGCACTGTTTTACTCAGCGCTTATCCATCTTAACTCCTTCATTGATAAAATTGATTTCTGTTCTACAGAGAAAAGCTTTACTGGCGTCTGGTGTAGCGTCATTAATACACATCTCTGGAAAATCCCACCACAGATATTGTTCATGTCTCTCTATGTTACAGATTAATTTTGACTTCATGATCCATTGTGAACTTGATGATTAAATGGGTTGTATTGAGCTTCTATAGTATCAGTATCAGTATTTCAGCTCACCGAGTGTCACTGCATACAACAAATACAGTATCTTTGAAACTGTGGAACTGAAAGTCACTACATATTGTGCAGATTCCATTGTAGTATTTTGCTAGATGGTACATGCAAATATCAACCTATATTTGAGTTCGAGGACCTCACAAAGCTACCCTATTAAAGTGGCAACGCAACACGTTAATGAATTTGAACAGATCAGAAGACGCCTGACTTCAGTCATCGATTGTAGGATATCTGGATGAATATCTCACTTTGGTTCACACCAACTTCTGCACAGCCTGGTGAGAGAGAGAAATGGTGAAAATGAAGTCATGAATACTCATCGGAATCGCTATTATCAAACAGAGGGATCAATTGTGTTTTATACAATGGACAGTAGTATACCTTTAAAGTCTAAAGCAACTGTGTAAGCGGTGGTAAAAACAGTTTCTTTTCTAGTGGTGTTTATTACTGCACAGCAGTGATTCAATCTGTTCCAGTGTTATCTGCATCCAGAAGATATTTCGGCAAACAAACAACCAAAAACATGTTGTATATAGGAAAGGGGTTGGATAGAGCATACGCTGAGGATAAGGTTGAATGTTAACACACAGCAGGCTGTCACCTGATTGATGCCCGTAATGTACATCACGATTTGGGTGTTTGTGTGTGACACGGAGGATACAGGATGTTTATATGTGTGTGGAGAAGAGAAGAGCCTGTGGCCAGTCATGGAGCCTGATGAAGTGGACTTTCCAATTCATCTACTGATTTAAAAGTTCAATGAGTTCATTTCTGACACATATCTCTTCACACTGAACCCGCGCTAAATATGGTACGGTTGAAATCATACATTTTCACTGCAGCACAAAGAATATTTCGTATTTAATTTCTTCTGGTCTCAACCCCGTAGAGGTAGTTCATACGTCATTGTCCCCTTGCTAGCCATGCCTGATAATGTTGTGAAATGCGTTTGGAAATTGTACTCTTTCTACGACCCACATGACTACCTCTGTAGGAGCAAGTGAATTTATCAACACACATTACAATTAATAAAACCACTGTTATGACTATAGTCAATATTATCATCTATTGCATAGATTCGGTCACGCGAACTACATGAAGCATGACAGAACTCGAAACCGATTAGCCATTAGATGTGACATCGCATGCATGACACTGTACGCATAACACAACGGTGATGAATAGTAGTTTGAATTTGCTTTGAAAGGATAAGATTTCTTGGATATATTCGTAGTATTCTTAAGAATAATCTATGCATATTTATACTTGCATCATCAAGTAATTTAGATGGAATTTTTATCACAGAAATTCAGAACACACGTAAGTCACTTATAAAAAATGACTCACCAAGAACTCACAGGATATCTGGTTCTCGTCATTAGCTCCTCTCTGGTTGGTGGTTGCAAGTCAACTGTTCTTTCACATTCATTATTCTTAACCGTTAATGTCTTGTCATCACTCAAGGTAGAGTTCATCCTGTCAAAAGCAACAATCATTTATCTTCGAAATAAAATAAGCAAAAACACATTTTATTGTGTAAAAGTAATGTTTGAAATCTGTTCGCGTAGACTAATTCACTGTTTTGAGTGAAATAACGATGATTTGATGATTAACTCAGCCTTGGAGTTCAGTTTGTAGGTATACGACTGATAACCTTTTAAGTCATGGACTCATATCTTGAAACAACGTAGAATTTCGCTTCACACTCAATCGTCACCCATTTTATGTCAGTAGTAGTCTGTCAGTCCATGGCCATTCACTGGATATTCAAATAATATACAATGTGAATAAAAGATGCTGCTGGAAACTGACGTGCTTATCTTCAGGTTTACACTAGTGAGGAGAGATGAAACTGTCCGAATTTATAATGAACATAGACGAATCAAACTGTTTCGGAGTAGATCAATCAAGAGGCCTTCCAGTGAGATGGAACCTAGAACCCTGGATTAATGCGGCAGTCTCGTTAACCACCCAGCCACCTAGACAACATCAAATAACCCATCTATTCAAACTCCTTCCAATTTTCGATTGATGGTGTGACCGCTAGCCACTATCACCAGGGAGAATCTGCTACCATGCTGAATTCGATGAACAGTGCTGGGTGCGACTTTTCACTAGAACTTCGGACGGAACTTCCCCTCTGCAGTTTAGTAGTCATCAAACATGAAGTCAACCAAATAGCTGTAAACCAACACCTGAGGATTTAAATAACTAAACTAAGCCTACAATTTTCCATCGCACTTCGCTTAGCTTTTTTTAGTTGTTGAGGGATTTTGACTGCGTTACATCCATAAATGTGACAACTCGCTGCAGTTTACTAATTTAAAATTATGATTCATCATGACATCATAGCTATGCCTAATTTATTTTCATTTGTATTTCTTCAAATAATTGAAGTATCAAGTTTGACCACGTATTCAGATCATTGGTGATAGTAGACAGCCTTGCCTCACTCCCGTCCAAATAAAATTGATGGATGCGAGTTTAAGATTAAGTCGGGTGGTTTACACACTACATGTAAACTGACACGAGGTAGTGCATCCTTACGTCAACTGTATACTGCTAAAGATTCAGAACAAAACAAGTCACTGATGAGATATTAATGAAGTGAAGTGTATTACCATCTGCGTTGCCTCGATGGTCACTGGACCTTACACAAGAGAGTAAGCTAGATATTCACAGTGAGATATTATTTATCGTCCCACGTTTGCACATAATCTATAATCCACTACATGTCACTTTCGAACACATGCCGAAATCTCCTTGTCCTATCCGGATTCCACTCTACCGATGTCATCCAATGGCTCCCTCAACGTGAGTCAGATCAACCTGCATTGCCTTCAGGAAAATTCCTTAACCAATGCGTCGTTGATTGGTTTGTTCTGAGTTTCTTTTTCTCAATCGTTTCTGGAGTACCATCTGCTGTCCAATTGGGAGCCAGTGAATACAGCTGTTGACTGGGGCCTGAGAATGACTGTTGGAGGTACGCTTCGCAACGCATGAGACAAGTTTCTGACTCATAGAGGGAGTGACTTCACATTCATGTACAAAATCCGAATCTAGTTTTTTACTCTGGGGCGGTATGCAGACGATTTCAAACTGATTTCAGGGTGACGAAGGTCGGTCTTGCCTATCCCACTCTGGTTTTTCACATTCTCACCAGTCCCAACTGCCTGTAGTTGTGACTGCCTGATGCCTAGCTAGATAAGTGATGTAAGTGGCCTCTTC